ACCTTGAGCTCTCTCTCTCTTTCTCTTCACGCTCTCATGCAAGAAGAAGAAAAGAAGCAAAAACTAGATTTTCATTTCAAAATATTCATTAGCCTCATACAATGATACATGACCCCTATATATAGGTCATGAGATACAAGAAAATAAAAGCATAAATAATGACTACATCGCCCTCGGGGCCCCAACATAACTCACTCACACACAAGGGTAAAACAGGAATAATGAAAACTGAAAATGCATAAATAACTAAAAATATAAGCTCTGAATCGTGGCCATCGATCGGCGATGCTTCCGGCGATAAACGTGTTTGAACCGTTGATCGATGACCTCATCAACCTTAGGACCAAATCCTAAGTTCAAATATTTATTTGATAAGACATAGAATTAACAAGTGATCAATTTTCTTTCATGCATAACATTTAGAGCACTCTCAAAGCTCCAAGTGTTGGAGTGCATGAGTCATTTGAAACTTGGAACCAAATCCCAAGTTCTCCTATCTCCGTTGTTGGCACATAAAACCAACAAATCTCTTCTTATGCAAGATATCCTAAGGCTCCTCAAGCCTTTAAGCATTTCATTGCATGAGTCCTCTCACTTTAGGACCAAATCCTAAGTCATTTCTTCACTTGTTGATAACACAAAAGTAACAAGTGAACCTCTCCCATTCAAGTTTCCTAATCATGTCAAAGTTGATTTGAAAATCCTTTTCAAGACCCTAAGGTGCATCCTTCCCCTCTTCAAATGAGCCCAAAATATTTGTAGGAAGGTAGGAAGCTCTCTTTCTATGATCCAAAGGTTATAGGAAAGATCTTCTCATTCTCCTAACCTAAATTAGGAGAGTGTGCATCATTCTTTGAATGTCAAATGTTCAAGGAACCTTCAAGAGTTTGCAACTTCTAAGTTGCATCTCATTCTTCTCCATCCCTCCAACCCAAATTGGAGGAATGAATTCCCCCTCTTTGGACACCAAACGTTCAAAGGAAATCCTCCAATTTGTAATCCCTAAGTTGCATTTTGGACCATTCCTTTTCCTACAAAGCCCAAATTGTAGGAAACCTCCAAATTTCTCTTCATTAGCCTAGCTTCAAATTAGGCAAATGAAATTGTCTTTTTTGAGCACCAAATGTTCAAAGGATTTCTATGATTTGCAACCTCTAAGTTGCATTTCCCTCTCTCTTTCCTACAAGCCAAGATTGTAGGAGAGCTTTCAAATCCATCTTCATGCTCTCAAACCCAAATTGGGAGAATGAATTCCCCTCTTTGAACTCCAAATGTTCAAAGAGGTTTTAAAAGCTTGCAATCCAAAGTTGCATCTTACCTTCTCCTTTCTACAACTTAAAAGTTGTATGAAAGTCTCATCCAAATCTCCTATTTGTTGAATCAAAATCAACAAGTAGTTCAATCCAAAGTCATTTATTTGTTGAACCAAATTCAACAAATAATCCCATAGCAAGCAAAGGAGAAACTCCTATCTTTCTTCCTTTCTCCTAACCAAATTTGGTGAATGAGTTGTCCTAAAAGTCCAAAGAATCCTTGATGTGTAGGCCAAATCTACACATTATCTTCTCATGTTTGCTTAATCCAATCTTAGCAAACTAAATACCCATCATTGAACATAAGAGTTCAATGATAATCTCTCTTGGTTTGTAACCCCAAAGTTACAAATCTTTCTCACTTATTGAGCTAAATTCAATAAGTGTCCCACCTTTGTTTGCTTAATTCCAAATTAAGCAAATGAAATCCAATTCCTTGAATATGAAAATTCAAGGAGCATCCTTTTGATTTATAGTCTCAAAGCTACCAATCTCTCCCTATTTCTATAGGTTCCAAAGGCCTTAGAAAATGTCATACCTTAGCTCAAAAACTATAGGTCCTTTCTCCTCCAACTCCAAAGTTGTAGGAGATCTCTCCTCTCTTTAACTCTAAAAGTTAGAGAGAGTTCTCCTACATTTAGCCCAAAAGCTAATGTTGGATTCCTACCTTTCTCTTCTTAGCTCCAAAAGCTAAGAAAAATTCCTCAACATGTAGCCCAAAGCTACATGTTGGACACTCTTCTTAGACCTAAAATCTAAGTAATTTCCCCCATTCAACCCAAATTGAATGATTTTTTCTATGACATTTAAAATGCCAAATCTATAGATGTCCCTTAGGAAACATCTAATCTGTTGAAGTTCATCCTACCCCATTGGATGAATTTCACCAAGTCCTAAGTGAAAGCTCTTTAGGCATGTCTATCTTACCCTATTAGATAGACACTTCTCTTACCCAAACATTAAGAGAACTCTAAAACATCTAAAAATTACTTAGGTCCCCTTTTGATACAATGATCAATCATCTCCCCCAAAAGGTGGGATGTCTACATTATTGTATCTTAGGATTCATAAGTAACAAGCTTGCCCAAAAGCAAGCATGTGATTACTTTATGGATTCTTTATAACCCTCCTAAATATGAAACACTTAAAAAATCAAATAAAATCTTTAAGTCACAAACAACTTAAAGTAAACCACCCTTGGATAAAGATTAAACATCTTCATTCCAAAATAAAATTAAATACCTTTAGTGTGACATGCTACACAAGCCTCACACACTTAGGTGCACAACCCCTTAGGCATGTTAGGATTAGGATTTTTCTTTTTTGCGCATGTGTTTGATGATTTGGTGTGATTGCCCTTGGATTGTCTGTGTGTGGGCATTTGTCTTTAAGTGGATAGTGTAGAAATATACATGTTCTTCTTGCAGGTGGCCATATCTAAAAGGGAGGCGCTCATAAATAATAAATTGCTTGCATGACAGGTGTTGCTTAAAACCTCCCAAAGATGTGGCCAATAGGGTAGAAGCAAGTGTTTGGCGCTCTAAGTGCTAAACAAAATTCTGGTAGTGATGCTTTATTATATAAACTGCTTCTAATCCACTACAGGTTTGAGTCTCTTTTCTTTTCAAATATGTATTTGATAGAATTGTAATTGTATCAAACTTGTGGGGGTTTGGAGCAAAAGAATGAAGTGGACTAGAAGGATGTACCTGTCAAAGGTGAAGCCCAATGTCCATTCAAAAGTTAAGAGCCTGAATAACCCCACAAGTAGAGTCTGTAAATTTGACTGGGTTGTATAATGACATGCAACTCAGCTGCCAAATCTAGTTGTAATAATGTGGACTCTACTTTCATTCCTTGTACTTTATTTATAAATAAAAGCATGCTTTGATTGTTTACCTGGTTGTGCAATAGAAATGCATCTTTTTCCTAGGTTTCTTTCTTTGCTTTTGCTTGGGAGTGGCTTGGACTTTTGATACGGTAG